ATCAGTAATCTCAGTCCTCATCCCACAATCGAAAGCGGGGAGAGATTAAGATCAATCCAGCTGTTTCTGGTCCAGCCAAAGAGCTCCATTCATCAACTGAGGTATCGACATCCGACCACTTGTCCAACAGACTATACGCCCTCGAAAAGTACAAAGCTCTTAAAAAAATGTATGTTTGCAATGCTTCGTATTTTCGTGTGTCAGACGATGAAACTCGTTCTTCATCAGGGATCTCAGTATCATGGTTCTTCCATGACAGTGCTGTACCTGCTTCAATACTGACGCCTCCATCTTCACGCTATGTTGACCATTATGTATGTAAACAGAAGCCAGGACTACATTTCAGTACTACTTATCTAGGTGGTGATCCCCAGGAAATCGAATTCAGAGCCCCTTTATATAAGCACAGCTACATTTTACTGTGGAGTGAGCTGTTGCTGAATGTACGGGCCGAGGGCTCTCCCTGGCTGTTTTTCTTTTGCTCAAAGTATTCCAATTTATATTAGGGTAACAAATATATACAGTATATGATAAGCTTATTCCTTATCCAGAAGCAGACGAAATTCTCAATATAACTTTCAGAATGGAAGTGGGGGTAGCACTGATGGCCGAGGATTTGGCCATAACTAGCTACAGTGAATATGTCGAGACCTTTTCCCCATGTCCTTAGGTATTACCTCCTCCAGCCTACCCTTTCGTCTAAGGAACCCAATGCTCGTGAAGGTACCATCTTATTTCCACTGTGCGTGATGAAAGTCTGCTGGATCTAGACAGCGCTGCCGCTCTCCAAACGCGTACAACCCTAGCATCATGCCCGTAAAAGCCACTCCTACGGGTGGTGCTGCCGTCATACTGCTATTGTCCACTTCTCCTATCCAGTGAATCAAAGCATCATCCGACTCAACGTCGCTGAGTTCCTGGAATCCAAGCCGGTAGCTATCTCCGCACTCAATCACCAAGCGAACATCCGACTGGGAATGACGTAGACCGAAGTCGACTACCTCGCCTCCTGGAGAACGTAGCCGAACAATACGCTGGCCGTCTTTCCCCAAGCGAATTCCGATGCTGCTGTAGGTGAAATATGTCCACCATACTACTGCACCAGCTTCGCATACCTGGTTCCTCGGGCAAAAGGACAGTCGTGTCTCCCATGTGCAGAACCGATGAGTCTGCTTGCGAAGGAAAAGTGTGGGACACGCTGGAATTGACAAATTATATGGACCGCCGTAGAGGCGAAGGAAACCTGGCCGCTCTGTGAGGGAGTAGTCACGCACGACCGGGGTATTTTTGCGGTACCATCCAAGCTGGAGCTCGCTTTCTGAAAAGTCATCACGCCATGCGACTGGAACTGAGAGCTCATCGAGGTGGGGACTTTCGGAGTGAAGGGAGATCTTCTGGCCACTGTTGACAATGGGCCAGTCGTCCTTCCAATCTACCGGAGCTAGGAAGGTTTCGCGGCCCGTAATTAACATTAGCATACTGTGCACAACATGGAATTGGAGAAGTACTCACCGAAAACAGATTCCTCCCACTGCCCATCCTTCCAAACCGGACGTACTCCTAAAAGGACAGCCCACCACTGCCCCTGTGCATCTTCCACTAGATCCGCATGTCCAGTATTCTGAACGTCATCGTCCACTCCATTTCGCCAGAGAGGGTTATGCGGCCCAACCTCCCATGGCCCAAACGGACCGGCAGTACTGCGACTGACCCATTCGCAATGGCCGCTCTCGGTGCCACCCTCCGCAGTGAAAAGATAATAGTACTTGCCGCGTTTGAAGATATGTGATCCCTCCGCGACACCCGAGGAAGACTCCCTGATTAGTTTGGGCTCTGAAGTGGAGGCACCCGTCTCCAAGTCAACAGTGACAATGTGGACAGCAAAGTCTTTTAGATTTGCACCTGGAGTTCGCTCAAGCTTGCGATATGTGCTTGAGAGGTAGACAGTGCCGCCGTCATCCCAGAAGAGCTGCATCACTAGTTAGCTGTGATTAATTGGGAGGGGGGGGGTGGGGGGGAGTCAAACATCCTGGTCAAAGCCAACTTGGTCAAAATATACCGGGTCCGACCACGACTTCGAGTCCCAGATATCAGTGGTCTTCACGTAGAATCCGCGCGGCCAGACGCGGTCATCTTCCTGAGGTCGATAACGCTGGAAGCAGGCAGCGAGGATGTAGAACACGCCGTCGTGATACCGCAATGTCGTAGCCCATACACCACCACCTGGCTCGGGGGTCTGGATCTGAAGTTGGCTGGAACGGGTGAGGGCATGGCCGATCAGGGTCCACTGGATTAGATCCGTGCTATGGTAGATGGGACCGCCGGGGAAGTATTCGAAGGAGGATGTAACGAGGAAGAAGTCCTTCCCAGCGCGGATTATGGAGGGATCGGGATTGAATCCCGGTAGGATTGGGTTGATGTACATAGTCAATATGGGGATGGGAGGGATATCGTGGGGTAGTGCTGACATGCGGGCTAATTTATGTGTTCTGAATGAGTTGTAGGTGATTGGTGGAGAAATACGGGAAGTGGCATGCAATGAGGGGATCGCTGCCAAGGGGATTTCGGTGTCGAATGAAGTTCTATATTATCATGTACCGTCTACTAAGAATTTCCTACGAACGTGCTCGATGGTTCCATATCCTCTTTCCGTCATAAGCATTAGCAATAAGACTTCTTGGGGTTAGTCGTCCTACGCCGTAGTCTGCCGCCGGCGCAGCCAACAAGGCCAGCCATACGGAACAGCCGTGAAATGGGTCTCAAAACGCCATGACTTCTTTGGATCGACCTGTTCGATGTCGAAGTCGCGGATAATAGTGGCAGAGACCTTGGAGATCTCAAAGTGGGCCAGGTTCCGACCGGGACATTGGTTGTATCCAGCTCCCCACTGTGTTTGTATTCAATATACTGCAATGTGTCCTCTCTTTCTGAAGGCAAAAAACTTACGTGGATGAGGAACGGGTCCATCTGTCTGGCTCTTTCAGGGTCAAGCCATCTTTCCGGGTTAAACTCGTCACAGTCAGGTCCGAACAGCTCTGGGTTCCGATGGAAAGCCCAGGGGTTGATGCTGAGAAGTGTCTGTTGCAACAATGTCAGCATGCTTGCCATCAATGGAGGTTTATAACTTACTCCTTCTGTGAAATGCCGTCCGCCAATGGTGAGACCACCCGCCGGAACGACACGAGGCAGCCCAGTGCCGGTAGCCGGGTGATAGCGATAGGTTTCCTTGATCTACACTCATCAGTATGGCTATCGCAATCGAAGAAGGGTCACATACACAGGCCTGGAGGTAGGGCAGCTTTGCTGCCTCAGCATAAGATACCACATGCGACAGATCACCCCGAGCGTGGGTTTCATCCACCTCCTGACGCAGCTTCAGTAGGTAATGCGGATGGCGGAGCATGTAATAGAAGAATGCCTGTAGCGTGGCACTCGTAGTATCAGCGCCGGCGCCAATATTGGCGACAGCAGCTCCAAAAACCTCCGCCTCGTCCATGCGATCGGGATACGTGCGGCGCACATGCAACCAGCGCTCCATCATATCCAGTCTGACGGCGGGGTTCTTCTTTCTACTATCGATGGCAGCCAGGCAGGTGTCGAAGATATGCGAAGAGGGTTGCAGACCAATTCGACTGAGCAATGGGTTCCCCAAGGTGATATTGTGCAGCCACACGTAGTGCCCCATGATGGCGATGTACAACGCCAGGGCGCGAGTATTGGCGATGGCATTGCGGATATCGGTGCCCGTCTCGAGGAACCGGAAAGGGCTGGAGAAGGTCACTTCGCCGACCACATCAAAGGCAAAGTAGTTGAACCAGCGATCGAACTCTACCGGTTGCCCGGATGCAATCAGTTTATCGAATTGATCCTCAAGGAGTCCAAGAAGAGCATCCACGAAAGGCTCGGACTTGATAATGTTTGACAGGGCATACCCCGACGCTACATTGCGGGACTTGCGAATGTGGCGTTGAGGATCCAGTTCTGACATTTGGTTCACATAATGATAGTCTGGCAGGCTAAAGATTGAGTACCACGATCCCTGGTGCTCTTAGCGTGGTGACTTTCATACGGGGATAAGTTACTCCGTGAACATACCTTTGCGATGTTGGCATGAAGCAGCAGGCGCACCGCATCAGGATGGGCGACGCTGACCTCATTGTCGGCAATGCGGACAAAACTGCCTGTTCCACCTATTAGTAAATGAATTGTATAATGGCGAACCGGTGGAGATGCACGGACCATGTCGGCGATGAAGTTTCACGATCTCCTGTTCCGTGTGGCCCTTGATCAACTGGTACACCTGCCAGAGGCTCGAAATTGAGGCCAGCCAAGGACCAGGAATATTCCGGATAGAAGTTGCATAGCGCCTTTTTAGGGCAATTACCGCAATAAGGATAAGCAGCAGGAAAGGCACCGAGACTGGCAGGGATGCCAGATTCCCAGGGAGCCAAGCGGGTGCAAACAGAACGGTCATGTTGGGTCCTGGTGGGTGACCAAGCATCTCCCGAATGCGAGACACAAATTGAGTCAATCCTTGGCTTGCTATTTGTATTTTCCGCGTAAACCCTTCTCGGGGGTGACTTGCAATGGAGGAAGCATGCGACGCACTGGTGCTGCTTAGTGTTGCTGCTAACGCTGCGCTAACGGCATTCCGCGGCCGCTATCTGATTTTTTTCTGCATTGCGCAGGATTGAGGCGTTCAGCTTTAAGCGAGCAGCTTCACTATGATCGTTTTTCTTCATCAGCAGAACAGGCATGAACACTTCATTCATTCAGTACGATGAAAAGCAGCACTCCTTAGCTTTGTGCAAACTATCCGCACGTTTGGGATGCACATGGCAGTGACAGGAAGCAAGGCCCACCCTCGGAGATGGCAAACGTCCAGTGGAGAATCGGGACGCCGTGGCCAATTGTTCCCCTTGAATCTAGCCCTGAAACCCGGCATTGACGGGGCGCGGAGGAATCGAAGCGAGCTTCTCTTCCTATCCAGCAAATCATGAGTGCTCAATATCAATAGCGTTCCCACCAAGGATCCATGACGTAAAAAGGATCGAGTGGACCCAGGTGTCACCAGCAAGGAACAAGCAAGTCAACCCCCGGATCCAGACCTTTCATAATACCCATTGTGGTCTTGCCGGAAGACAGATTGGGTTCATCCGCCCCCAGGAGGGTTCCACTACTCGTTGATGAGGATTGTCGGCTTTTCCTCATCCTTTCGCGACGGCTCTGCAATCCTGCATTAGTCTTTTGACACCCCTGTTCCTGCAGGAAGATTCGGCAGACAAAACCCCTTCCATGTCCTACCCACGAAATGTCTAAAGAACTTTCGTGTCCGCTCCCGTCGACATCTTTCGCCTTCATGTAGCGGCCCTGTGTCTGCCATGGCGTCGACCAGCACACCTGACCTGACGCCCGAGTTCCTGGCACAGGACCGACGCCCTGAGGCGAGGATCGGAATTGGAGTCGTGACGGCACTATCTGGAGCGGTTGTGTTGATTCGAGTCTATGCGCGATGGTTCATGATTCGCAGCTTTGGCTGGGATGATGGACTCATCTGCATTGCGATGGTAGGATACTATATTGCCGCTTTGCGCACAGAAACTGACATTCACTTGTTGTATGTAACAGTTGTTAAACATCGTCGTCATGGCCCTCACAACCCAAGTCCTCCGCTACGGCGCCGGCCTGCACGTCTGGGCCCTCGATACCGCCGAAACCCCACTGCTGTACAAATGGCTCGTCTCTGCGCAGCTGGTATACATGATTGCATTGTGGGTATGTCGATTGTCGGGACTGGCCTTCTACCGTCGATTGAACCCGATGCCCCAATTCCAACTGTACCTCCGAATCTCGTTTGCCTTCGTCACAGCCGTCATGCTCGCCCAGGTCCTCATCATCGCCCTGCAATGTGTCCCGCTCGCTACGCTCTGGGGCGGTGCTACCGGAAAGTGTCTGGGATCAAAGACGGTGTTTATTTCCACTGCCGCGATGACGATTATCTGCGACTCGCTTATCCTGCTACTACCGGTGAAGATTGTGCTCTCGATCAAGGCGAATGCAACGCGCAAGGTTGCGTTGAGTGTGGTGTTGTGTTTTGGTGTTTTGTACGTTCACATCCTCTATTCACTTTCCTCGGTGGATACTTAACTAACCCTTGATCTCTCAATCCAGTGCCGTGATGTGAGTGCCACAGTTCCAGATACAACTGATAACCCCCAACTAATAGACTCAGGACCTCCGTCGCCCGCATCATCTCCATGATCCCCGCCATTCAGAAAACCGACGCAACGTGGTACTTCTCCGTCGTGATGGTCTGGTCGGATACCGAAGTCAGCACGGCCATCTTCGCCCTGTCGTTGCCGGCATTGAAGGGCCTAGTCGGTGCTGTTGCGGGCAGTACCCGGAAAGGAACAGATCAGACACCAGGGAGTAATGGCGGACCGGATCTGCATTTGCAGAATGTGCCTGCTAGTGGCGGCCACCATCTGTATGAGGGCCCGGATAGTTATCCCAATGAGGCGCGGGCGAGTATTGGGGATAATGCGAGTCAGGAGGCGTTGTGGGTGGATACGAATGCCGGGATTCATGTCAAGAATAGTGTCAGGGTTAGTGTGAGTGATCGATAGGTATTGTTACACGGCCTGTGGGGAGGAGGGATGTTATGCTTTTCATATGTGCTTTACGATGGATATTGCAGCCATTCATATATGAATCATCATGGATTCTATCTACTATGTTCTCTTCTAAAATACCCTGCAATATAGCTGGTCTATCCAAACACATCAATTACACTCCGCGGCTCGCAAAACTTTCCAATTGGAACATATTCCACCTCCTCGAATCCCATCGACTTGGGTCCGCCCAGCTCCATTCCCCTCGGCGTATCTGTCCATCTTGGCGACGCCGCAACAGCCAACACCACCACCTTAAGCCCATACTTGAATTCCGGTGTGCCGAGCCCAGCCCCAGACTCTGCATCCAGCACAACAATCAGATCTGGCACAGCGGCCAGGATCTTCTTCTCGCCATCTTCCAGCACTGCCTCGACGTAGGCATTCTCATTCTTGAACGGAATGTTCAGCGTCGCTTTGCGTCCATCACTCAACCGCCCATCCACTTCCAACACACCGTAAGAATGTCCCGTCTTCAGCACCCTCGACACACTAACCACCTTGCCCTCACCCAGAATGGCACCACTTTCCGGCCCGCCCGCCGCTTCAACAATCCGCATTGCCTTATCCGCAATGTTCTTCTCCAGAGTCACAGCCCGTCCAATCCACCACGCCAGAGAAACCGTATTCCGAATGGCCTGCTGTCGCACCCGTTCCGCTCGATGAGGCGGACCCGCACTCCCAGCGCGGCACCCCATTTCAACAACCGCCGCACGCATCGCCTTATCCACCAATCGATCTGTGCGCGATCTCGTCATCGTCATGCACGTACCATCGCCACTAGCGATCACCGCCGGGACGAGCGCCTCTCCCCTCGGTGTACCATACACATTTGGTGTAACCTGCCACATGGTGGGATACGCACGACCCATGTAATCTGCATCTAGACAGGGGACGCCGTAATGTGCGGCGACACCGAGATTAACCATGCCGTTGCCACCACCAATTTCAAGGGCTAGAAAAGCAGACACGGGGTCACTGCCGGTTACCCGCATTAGTTCTTCGTGGGCTTGTAGGCATTCGCTGTTCTCGAGTCGCTCCATGCTTACTTCCGGACTGCCCATACAGCCGGTCCAGCCGACGAGGCTGCCGTCGGGTAGGGAGTCCGGGGATACGATACGGACGGTACCTGGGTGGTCTTGAAGGTAGGCTTTGATTTTCAGGTAGTCCTGGTAGGGATCGCCGCCACCGCCGCAGCCGAGGATTTTGCAGCCGCGGGTGATGAAGTCTAGGTCGGTGGGGGAGATGATCCATTGGTTATTTTGGATGTGAGGGCAGTAGGAGTCGAGATCAGGTTGGGGGGCTGCTAAATCGAGCGTATGAAGTGGAGGAGTGATAGTGTCTGTATCAGGAACTTCTTCGTCTGGGACAGGAATGGTTTGGTCTGCAGATGATGTCGATACAATATCTAGCTCCCCCACGGCCCGCACCACAATGCGCGCCTTGGCCTCGACATACTGAATGGGTAGCATGGTCACTTCTGCGATCTGCACTGTATCCGGCCGGGCACCATTGCCGAGTGCCTTGTCAATCGCCATTTGGGAGACAGCCTCCTGTGCCTCTTTGACTGTGCAGTTCGAGGTATCAACGACCGTATCCATCACCCCAGAGACACGTGAGATAGCAGCACCGACTGCATTGGCAACTTCCCCGCCCTTGACGGTCTGCACTCGTCGAACACCAAGCAGGGGCTCATGGGTGCGAATGATAGGTGCACCGCCGCCGACGATGAGTACGTCCACGTCGTCTTTATGAATTTTGGTACGGTCGACAAGCTCCTCGATCTTGCGGCGCATGAGTGATTGTGCCTGATTGACCATGGGGATAGTTATATCCGTCAAGGTGGAAACATCACCCATCCCTCCCAGCGAGTTCATCTCCGTGATGCCATTGACAGCAGATGCCACAGCGATATCGGTCGCAGTGAGGTACTCTCCGCCGAATAGTCGGGCTTTCTCCAATAGTTCGTGGGCTACACTATCCGGACCCACAGAGCAATCATCCTGTCCGATGCTGCGGACAATACTCCCTCCTCCTAGTCCGATGCTTTCCACGGCTGGAAGGGCAAAGTTGGTGCGCACGCCCCCGACCAGACTGGTTACTGAGCTCATCTGTGGCAGGCCATTAGGTAGGAGTAAGCCGCTGTCGGAGGTCGTTCCGCCAATGTCTATGACCACCAAGGGCTCTGTGCGCGTTGCCTGTTCTTTCTGCGGCTGCACAGCTTCTGTAGCCGCGCGCCAGAGAAACTCCCCACCGCGGATAGAGTTAGTTGGGCCTGAATTGAACGTCCGGATGGGAAGATGAACTGCCTCAGCCGCACTGAGAACGCTGCCGTCATTCTGTGTCAGATACAGAGTATACGGAACATCCGCGAAGATAGCCTCCATGGCCTTTTGAAAGCCATAGATCGTTCGTTCGGCCAGTGGACGCAGGGTGGCGTTGAGGATAGCCGCGTTCTCTCTAGCCAGGAAGCCCAAACCGGACACCTCGTGTGAGAGTGTAATCCGCGCTTTGTATGAAGGACCAGCATGCTTTTCCATTGATCGCAGGAGAGCCTCTTTTGCCCTCATATCCTGGCGATGATCCAATGGCGCATACATACCAGCGATCACGACGTTTTTGACCCCATCACTGACCAACTGCGCCGCTACGCTCTCAAGCTCCGTCTCATCTAGCGGGCTAATCTCCTCCCCAGAGATCTGGTATCCCCCATGGCAGAAGTAGGGCCGCGATGCTTCGATACGCGCACGCAGATCGAGAGGAAAGTCGACAAAGGGAGGGATGTTGCGTCCGAATCCCTCATCTGGACCTCCACATAGTCGAATTACAGCGACGCGACGTAGAGATGGTGAGCGCTGGACCACAGCATTGACAAAGTGGGTAGTCCCGATAATGACGCAACTGATGGACGAAAGGGGCACTTTTGCTGCCGCAATAACGGCCTGAACGGCAGTGGTGATGCCGGTGGTGACATCTGAAGTAGTGGGTGCTTTGTGCGAGGCAACGATGGCGACAGGATCGAGACGGATGAGGACGGCGTCGGTGTTGGTTCCTGGAGGTGAAGTGTCAGTGGAGTAGTTAAAGTAAAAGTGGGTGGTGGTGTTAGAGACGAACCGCCTACATCCACTCCCAGGCGGTAGCGAGGTTCGATGATACTGCCCATGGCGGTGGAATCATGGGCACTGATTCAATCAAGGGTGTCGATCTCTATATAGATTCAGTAACGCAGGGTCCATTGGAGAACCCCTCACGAGATGTCGTGCTGATAAGCCGTCCCCCCTCATCAGAAGCCAATCGTTGTGGTGCGATATCGGCCAGACTGCTCGAGACGGGCCTCGTCCCGAAGCCACGACGTATCTCGATCAATTGGCCAATCACCTTCGCCTCTACACTTATACAATTGCTGGACGTGCAGAATTGGTGGCAGTAGAAGTATCACATTATCGGGGTATTGTAGTAAGAACAGAAACAAACTCCGTGCCACACCAGGCCTTGATCCATCGATCAGAAAAACATCAGAAGGTTAAATACATCAGAAAAATAACAATCTACGATGAGAAATGCGGCGCGTTGATGAACAATCCCATCAGGATTCCACCCAACGTGCCCGCGATGGGAATCGTCATGATCCACGCCAGCAGCAGCAGCCCGACTCGTTGGAAGTTGACGGCCTTGAGCGTGCCATTGCACAGTCCCACGCCGACGGTAGCGCCCGTGATGCACATGGATGTCGACACCGGCAGCGAGTACTGTGAGAAGACGAGCACGGTAATCGCAGCTCCCATTTCCATCGAACAACCGCGACTCGGCGAGTGGTAGGTGATCTTGTTGCCCATGACTATACCTCATTAGTACACATTACAATCCACATTGTGAGATCGACTTACCCTTCATGATGTTGTAGCCGTACGTAATCAAGCCGATCGAGATACATCCTGACAGCACCGCCAACTGCCATATGGGCACCGGTGCCTTGGCCGCCGCCGCGTTGCCCGTCGACCAGGCCGAGTAGATGACAGCCCAAGGACCGACCGAGTTACCAATGTCGTTGGCACCATGAGCAAAGGAGGCAGTGCAGGCGGTCAACACCTGGATGAACGAGTAGGTGTGTTCGACTTCGTTGGGATACTTGGCGGCGTGGCTGTACACGCGCTGCATGCGCTTGCCTTCGGGGGTGCCCGCAATACCAGACTGAGCGGCGTGGATATCATAGTGCAGGCCGTAGAGAAGTCCGCAGACAATCATCGCGGGAATGCGCTTTGCCAGAATCACCATATTATGGACCTCATACAGCTGACCGGCTCCCATAGGGTTGTCGCGGAGTGTACGCATCGCCCAGCCCAGGGGTCCACGCTTCTTGAGCAGCCGCTCCCGCAGCCGACGGTCGGATTGTTCCATGAGTTCCTTGTAGGTCAGTTGCTGAGTTTCTCCCGCCACCATGCGCTTCTCGCCTTCTTCACTGCGGGACTGGATTGACTCGACTCCAGCCTGGGTGGACCGCTTGACATCATCGCCGCGGAGAGTATCCGGGGAGCCTAGCGTGAGGTCTTCGGAGCTTCCCTGCACGACGGCGTAGTCCGGAACCTTGGCCTGTTCGCCATGAGTGACAACGGGGCGGGTCAGCAGCATGGGGCCCATGATGAACATCCACCATTTCACACTGTGATCCTTTCTGATGACGCGGGCGTAAACAAAGGGAACAAAGAAGATGGCAGAGAGAAGCATGACGCCACCACCGGTGCCCATGGTGACCGCCGCAATGTACCAACTAGGCTTCTTGGACAGACCCAGACTAGGAGAACCCTTGTAGACGATGGACAGGGTGCAGATCGTGGCGGCGATGAGGAAGAAGAAGGGGGAACTGTAGACAGCCCAGGGGATGGGGTTCTTGCGGATGAGCACGACCAACTTGATGAGCATGAAGATGATAGCCGCGAAACCTCCCGAGATGACGGGGGCCATTCCCAGCCCGGCGAAGATGGCACCTAAGCCCTTGCCATCATTCCAACCCCACTGCACGTGAGAGGCACCCACGGTAGCCACACCCACGCCGGCGACGGCAGAGATCAGGGAGTAAGTCGAGGAGACATGGGCGGAGTGGCGCGTACACCACATCACCCAAGTGGATGCGGCAGCCAAGGCACAGGTGAAGGCTAGCATCTGCACGCCCGCGTTGCCCTGGAAGGCGGAGTTGGGAATGATGCCGTTCTTGATGGTGTCAGCGGTACGAGCTCCGACACAGATGGCGCCCAACATCTCGAAGACGGTGCCGAAGACCATGGCCTGACGATAAGAGACGGAGCGGGAGGAGACACTGGTTGCCCAGGAGTTGGCCACATCGTCTAAATTCAGACACAGAGGCCATGTCAGTAAAGGTTCATCCAATCCGGATAAGCACATGACTTTGGTGTCACCACTCACTTGCACCGTTGTTGTAGGCATCCAACATGGCAAACAAGGTGCCGATGGCGAAGACATAGTCGTACTCGTGGAGGACCGCCATGATGACTTGTCCTGTCTTTGGCTGCGAATCCTGCCAAAGGAGAAGGGAGGAGGATGAGGAGGAAAGAGATGGAGGGAAGGATGGAGAGAAGGAATCTGACGGACAGCCTCATGAACCTTTCCCTGCGGTGCAGCTCACTTTATGTGACCAGCGGAGGCCATTAGACCGGGCAGGACATTCACTCTACTGAGGGCCACGTGCCCCGGGAGAGTTTACGGGTGGAGGATGGAGGATGGAGGCAATGTAGTCCTCCTCCATGTCAGGGAGCTGAGGTCGGACACGTTCCTGCTTGGAGGCCGATGATTCGAAGAACCAGGGCGGAAAGCTGACCTCGACGGGACTGTCCAGGGTGTCGGGGAATACACGGATTACAGAGGGTATGACAGGGCCAGACTCGGAAATTCGCGCAGAGCTCGTAGCTTTCACAGCAAAGCCACTGGAGCAGGATCAGGTACTACCAGCAAGATACTGACTTTCGGGATACCACTACCAGAGTATTACAAGATTACCGCCACCAGTCGCACAGGATGGCCCTGCTGGGCATGGCTGGGCGGTGGCTTGGCATCCGTACTGCCTGCTTTCGTTTAAGCAGATATGATGGAAGTATATTGGTAGATTCCTAGATATACTCGCAGTGAAGTCTGGGCGGACCCGAAGAGGCGTGTCTTGGCAGGCTGGGCGGAACGGGCACGTCTCCACTAATCCTATCAGTGCACACAGCGGGCCCACGTGGGGATGCTGCTGCAGCTTCATTCGCAGAATCTTCCCCCGGCCGGACTTCCAGAAACACCATCCCAGCAACACTGCCCGCGCGGTGACTGGCACGGTGTCACGGCCCAGAGCTGGCCAGTACTCTTGGCACGCCAAGGTAATCTTCCGATGCCGTCGTGGAACACGACATTATTCTCCCATCACCAACGGGTACCAAACTTTAATAGGTTGCCTCCTGCGAACCATTATTATTAATACCCACGACTAGATAGCACGAGTCACCATGAGGTTCAACTCTATTGTCCCATTAACCATTAATTACACGGGGAGATGCAGCGAATTTCCCTGCTCCCCTTTCTATCACTTGGAAAAAGTACAAAGTACATCGTTTAGTTCACCGGAATGTTCCGATCCAGATAGCCACTCCACGTGGCCAGGCTGCGTCTCCACGGCGTGTTGGACGACAGCTGCACGTCCTCGATCGCACTGGCATACTTGATCAGCGTCGCCTCCGAGTAGGCCGTGCCCATCAGTGCCAGTCCGTAGGGCATGTGCGAGTCCTTGTTGATGCCTGCGGGGAGCGTCACCACCGGGTAGCCCGCCTGCGCGGCAATCTCGATGGAGGGGGCAAAGTCCGGAGGCACCAGCAGCGCCGTGAGGTTACGACCCTGGTAGCGCAGAGCAGCATCAATACCTTCCTCCCGACTGGTGCGGTGGCAGTACTCCAGGGCCTGCCAGTAGGTCTCGTTCATCTCGCCCTTGGTGGCCAGCGACGCCAAGAATCCGTCTTGGCCCGAGGCAAACGCCGGGTTCACACCGGGAACACCACCCTCACTGCCGGCATTGTCGATGTTGTACTGCACAATATCCTCCAGCGACCGCATGTTGGTGTTGTTCAGCTCCGCCAGGTAGTCCCGGATGTTGTTGTAGAAGTCCACCTTGACGTACGAGTACTCGGACTGGTTGGGGTAGCCGCGCGTGGTGCCGTAGTCCCAGTTCCAGCCGGACGGGTCGACAATCTCCTTGTAGTGCGGCAGCTCGGTGCCGTTGATGATGGTGGCACCCGCCGCCTCGATCAGCGCCAACAGCTCCATCAGCTGAGCGTTCTGGGCGGCGTCGTTGTACTGCCAGAAAGACAACCAGGGGAGACCGAAGACGGCGCCCTTGAGGGCCGTCTGGTTGGTCAGGAACTGGGCGTAACCGCCGGCCGGGGTCTTGCCCTGCTGGGCATAGGTCTCGTTGTCACGAGGGTCAATGCCGTAGATGGCATCCAGAGCGTAAGCCGCATCGCGCACCGTCTTGCCAAAAGTGCCGACCGTGTCCTGGTGCAGGGACTCGGGGATCACACCGGCACGGGAGGTCAGACCGACGGTGGGCTTGATGCCGACGACGTTCGAGCGCTCAGCCGGGTTGATCACTGGTACTCTATATTAGCATGACATCTTTGATTTCTTTCGATCTACCAAACTTACCACTACCATCAGTCTCGGTACCCAGAGCAAAGGGCACCTGGTTGCTGGTGACGGCCACACCGGAACCGGAACTACTGCCACCGGGGTTGACGGTGAAGTTGTAGGGGTTGCGGCACTGGCCACCACGGCCCGAGTAGCCTTCGGAGTAGTCGTTGGAGCGCATGTCAGCCCACTCACTGAGCGTGGCCTTGCCCAGGAGGACAGCACCCGCCTCGCGCAGGCGATGGACGACGTAAGAATCGCGAGGGACGACGGAGCCGACGAGGGCCCAGCTGCCCGCGGTGGTCTCCATCTTGTCCTTACTGGCGATGTTGTCCTTGACCAGGAAGGGGATGCCGTGGAGGGGACCGCGCACGGTACCCTGCTTGCGTTCGGCATCCAACGCCTCGGCGATCGCCATGGCGTCGGGGTTTAACTGCAGCACGGCACTGACACACTGAATGAGCTAAACACATCTTTGTAAAAAGAATAGGGGGGGGTTACTTACTTGGTGTAGGGCTGGACCTGGTAGATGCGCTCGAGGTAGCACTGCAGCAGCTGGGAGCCGGTGAAGCGACCGGCCTTCAGCTGAGCCTGAATGTCATCGATGCTGGCCTCCTCGAGGGTGAAGCCATGGCAGTCCCGCATGGGGAAGAGATCGGAGCCATTGACGCCCAACTTGGGGAAGTCATAGGGGAACGGTTGGGTATCAATCTGCTGGGCCACGAGGGAGTCATTGAGGGTGATGGCGTTGGCCACAGCGGCCAACCCGGTGGTGAGGAGCCAAGAGGCAAAGGAAGGCATGGCCGATCGTCAGTTCTTTTTCTTTTCTCGATTCCCTGCAGATCGCTGCCACGTGGAAAAAGAGATTTAGTAGGGAAGATGAGACAGGGGAGGGAAAAGAAAAGCAAAGTAGATGAGTTGTGGTTGGTTAAAAGGGTTGGCGCGAACAGGCACCAACGGCGACCGGCATCATGCAAGGGACTGACTGTAGGGACGGGACGGTTTCTGATCTAGTGCCGACAAGGGAAGGGGGGGCAAACTAAGAATGCGACTATTGAGGAGAGAGATGGAGAAAGAGTCCGACTGGCAGGGATCATTGGATCGCAGCGAAAGTTGGTAGATTAATTGGTTGCGTAAAAGGTGCCAAAGTCTGGATGGTGTGGGGAATAATACCATCATGAACAAACCGAAAGGGAAAGTTCATCGGCAAACCCATAGAAGGGTGGACGGACCGGCCGCCACAACCTTCCGTGACAGTTCTGACACACACCTGTGGCTTTGAATAGAGACTGTCCTACTATTCCTAGTAGGTAATGTTCACGAGAGAGAGGTAGAGAATCAAGGAAGGAGATATCGAAATTGATCTTTTTTTCAATTCAGTCGAGTAATAAGCTTTTCAGGGCAAGACATGCCTAGACAGGCGACTGTGTCAGACGAGCAAGAAAAGAAAGTGCCAAGGGTGGATCTTCAGATAGGCGAGCACCGACCCGCCCGGCCTGTCCCATCCGGTGCTCCCGATATATATTGCTCCTTCCCTGTTACGCATGCATTTTCTCTCAGTTTGGCTATAGTAAAGTACTGACAGGCTGTTTTGCTGCGGGTACGGCATCGCTTTTCCCACGGGGTCCCTCTTCTTGCTGAAAAATTGGATAGGAGTAGAAATGAGTACCGAGTGGCAGTTCGGTCAATCTTTTTCAGCTTCACCCTCTGAGCTATACTACTAGTATTATCATATGATTGCCATTAGGTAACGTGCGTTTATTCTTCAATATCCTTAGCAATTGTTTGCAATTGACTTTGTTAGGCTTCCTCAGCCTAGAACCAGCCCAATCATCTTAAATTTATCCCCCGGTCGGAAACAGCTCGAAATTGGACTAAGAGTAGTATAGTATAGTAGTAGTAGTAGTAGTAGTAGTAGTAAGTCATCGAGATCCCGCAACGGCCTTTGATCGGTACCGATGGCCCGATCCAATTTCGCCCTGCCAATACTTTTTCTCTCCAAAGTCTAATTCGGAAAAAGAATAGAATTCGATTGTTATAGGTTGCAAGTAGTTCCTTGGTCTTGTCTTCATGCCCACACAAAATTTTTTAATATGGAACACCAACATCCCTCATAATTATCAATCACTTCCCCCCCCATGTTCCCCCTTTTTTCCTGTCCAGGTTGAGAGACCTTATTGTCGGTCGTCTCTCTCTCACCTGCTGCCCCGGATGAGCCATCACGACCATGTCTGAGATCCCCGCCGACATCCAAACTGCTGAGGCGGAGGGTCGCATCCCGGACGGTATCACCGCCGACTATCTGGCCCAGTCGCGCGATCGGCCCACCAAGATCGCCATTATCTTCGTCGCCGCTCTGACCTTTGTGATCGTCGTCGCCCGTTGCTACGCTCGTCTCTTCCTCGTCAAGAAGTTCGGCTGGGACGATGCTTTGGCCGTCTTCACTCTGGTATGTTAATACCTGCCCCTATGCCCTAATTACCTCCCGCAGCCATAGTAGATAGAGGGGCTGACTCGGCACCGCATAGGCCATTTACATCGCCATTGTCGCCCTATGCATCATTCTGATCGACATGGGCAGTGGTCGACATATCGAATACATTCAATATGTCCTCACGCTGCCCCGCGTCAACGAGACCGAACGCTACGACTTTGTCATGCACATCCTCTACACCACCGCCTTGTTCGTCTGTCGCCTGTCCGGTCTGGCCTTTTACCAGCGTCTGGCCTCGCGACACCCCAAGATCTCTCTGGCCATTAAGCTCTCCGCCGGGTTCTTGCTGGCCGCCTTTCTCGCCCAGTTCTTCCTCCTGTTGTTCCACTGCCTGCCCGTCACGGGACTCTGGCCCTACGCCTGGCAGCCACAGATCGACGATTACAACTGCATCACGTGGGGAGATGTGTATGTCACCAATTCGGCCCTATC